GTGCCTTTTTTGTTGTTGTTGCTGTTTTTTGTTTTCTCTTTCTCCAGTGCTGTCGCAGTGTACAGAATTCTCCTCTCTTCTTTCCTTTCCTTTCCTTTCCTTTCCTTTCCCTCTTTCTCTGTGTGAATATGCGACTGCGTTTTTCTGTTGGGCGATTATTATTATTATTATTATTTTTTTCTGTTGTCCATATATATATATATGTGATCTTACTCGTATCCCACACCCAAAACAGAGAAATAAGTTTTATTCCTGTTTTTCTTTCTTTCTTTCTTTCTTCCCCCCAACTTCCTTTTTTTTTTTTTTTCTTTTCTTCCTTTATTTTCCCGGTTGGGATGCGTGCATGTACGTGTCCCCACCCACCCACTCCCTTTTTTTTTTTTCTTTTTTTTTTGATTGTTGGTCGGTTGTTATGCATAAATAAATAAATATATTTATATATTTGTTTTATTTTGCACCCAATTTTGTGTCACTCTCCCACGCTTTTGTGTGTGGGTGCACGTGTCCTTTGACCCGGGCATGTGCCTTTGGTGCGTGTCAGTCCGACGCATGTGGGGCGTCCGACACGTTTAGAAGGAATTCGGCTCCGCACGAAGTGAAGGAAGAGGGTCCGTAATTGTGCGAAAATGCATGTTTGGGTTTTTTTGCTTGTTTGTGTTTATGGAGGAGTGGAGCAGCTGACATGCTTGCAAGGGAGAATATGTGAGCGGCGGACTGGAAAAACGGATTGCATCACGCAATAGGATCCAAGCAGGACGGGATGTGGGCGGCGTAGGGAGTAGGGAGGGTGTGTGCTTGGACACCAAAGCACAGTAGCCTATGCACTGGGAAGTGGAAAAAAGTATAAAAAAAAAAGTGGGGGATGAGTTGGTGGAGGAGGAAGAATAGCATTTATTATTTAATTATTATTTAATGTTATTATTATTATAGTGGCCCGATTTTTGTTTTGTTGTTTTTGATGATCACCTTTTTTTTTTTTTTTTTTTTCTCTCTGGCCTGCGTCGCAGTCGGTGGTGATGATTGTTTTTTGTTTTATTTTATTCATCGGTATTGTTGTTGTACTGCGGCTCCTATTCCCGCAGTACTTCTCTTCTTCCATAACGAGGAGGTTACCCGTTGTGTGTGTATGTGTGTGTTTTGTGTGTTTTGTGTGTTGTTTTTCTTCCTGCTTGGTTCTGTTGTGTTGTTTTATTTTATTTATTTATTTTGAATTTCGCTCTGTTTCTTTCTGTGTGTGTGTGTGTGTGTGTATTTTTATATGTATGTTTACTGTGTGCTACCCAAACTTCTGTTCTAATATGGGGGTCAGGGACGTTCATTGGGGCTCTTCCAAGATGTTCTTCCCACCCGCTTTGTGCATTACATCAGTTTATGTCCTTGCTGTTGTTACTGTTTTTTTTTTTCTTCATTATTTTTTTTTTTTTCTCTCTGTTCTGTAGTTTGCCTGCATGTGCGATGCGTACATGTCTCTCTCGCTTTCTCTGTGGGAGTGTGAGGCGGAGAAGTGAGGAAAGAGGGCAGGAGTTGCTATTCAGGGCAAAAAAGTGAAAAAGAGAGATATAGGAAGAGAAGGAGTGACTCTGGGTTTGTGTGTGTGTGTGGGGACGCAGGCAACAGGGTTGCAGGCACTTTCATTGTTCCCCTGTTTTTTCCATGGCTAGCACGATTGATTCTAACCATTACGACAGCCCGCCACCACAAAAAACCCACACACACATAAAATGGCAAGGGCGCAGGTGCTGCTGTCCTTTGTGTGCTATTGCCTTTTTATTTACATATTTGCATGGAGGTGTGTGATCCCTTTTTTTTTTCTTTTTAGTGGTTATTTGGAAAGAATGTGCAAAATTGAATAGAGCTCAATATGATGGCGAGTTCTGGTCAACCACTCTGCTTTTTAAAATTATTGATTACCCGCCTTTTTGTTTTCAAGGATAGCGCGTTTGTGTGGTAGCGGGTGCAGCTGCTTTTCCTTTTTTTTTTTTTCTTTTTTTGTTTGCCCCACAAATTTTTACGCCACAGGGATCCGGTGGTTGTGGGACTTCAACGACTGCCATCACGTGAGTTTAAAACGAGCCCGGTGGTCGCAGATTAGATTATGGACTAATCGGCTTACTGGTTTGTGCGTGTTTGGGGGGTAGATGAGTGTGTGGAGGTAATTCTTTGGGCGGGGGGGGGGGGAATATTGGGTAATTGTGGGCTTTAAGCGTGGCCTTCTTTTGTCTTGTGTGGTGCCTCCTTCTTTCTCTCTGTGCGAGGCGGAGGGGACAGGGCCTCTGCCAAAGGGGTGTGTGTGTGTGTGTGTGCATGTTGTCTGCCTTTTTTTTTTATTTTGTTTTTTTTTCTTTCTGTTTTTTTTTTTTTTATGGTGACACATTTCGATTTCTCTTACATGGTAGCGTTTTGGCGACGCGGAAAATGAGTGAGCCAATTACAGCTACGGATGACATGGGCAAATCGTTACGCTTGGCCCGGCGGTACGCAATGGAGTCTAACTACGACGTTGCAGTAGCTTTTTACACGGGGCTTGACAAGGACCTCGAGGCATTCGTGCAGTGCTCCGGAAATGCCCCGGGGCGGGCCAGATGGGTATTACTCCGGGAAAAGGTTGCAGAGGAGTGCTCGCTGGTGCGCTCCTTACAAGAAGAACTGAAGGCGCTTGTGAATCCAGCAGATGCGGCGCGGCTTGAACGAGTGCAAAGGGAGGCTGACAGCACTCAATTGTCACAAAAGGCATCGTCTTCAGGCGCACTTTCGGCACGTGATGTTACCCCTGTGCGTGTGGCAGTCGCACAACCTGCTTGCCCCCCCGCAACGCGTGAAGGAGTGAAATTTCTTTCTTCCCTCCCTCCGACGATACCGCAGTCGTCATTGGATGGCCCTGGGGTAAGGAATGAATTGCTATATGGCGACAAGGATCGCTTTGGCCCGGTTGAGGGGCCGACTGTGAGACAACAAAGATTCAACGGTGGACAACGGGCACCTATGCGCCATAATTTATCGAATGTGGCCTCTCGAACCAAGTCCGCAGGCAGCACGTCCAATCCATCCTCTCCTCATCGCTTAACGGCCAGAGCGAGGGTGGCTACACGGCGCACCGGTAGACCAAATGGGTGTGAGCGGAAGCCTCAGGGGCAACGGGTCTCAATTCCACGCTTTCCTGCGCGGGCCGGGGAGGAGGAATTGGTTTCTCTTATTGAATCGGATATGAATGCTGGACCCATGAAGGTGTCGTGGGACGATATAGCTGGTTTAGAGGAAGCGAAGGGTCTGCTAGAGGAGGCCGTTGTGTACCCTGTACTGATGCCGGAATATTTTCAAGGGATTCGTCGTCCATGGAAAGGGGTTTTATTGTATGGGCCGCCGGGAACGGGAAAAACGATGCTTGCCAAAGCCGTTGCATCCGAGTGTAGTACAACATTTTTTAATATTTCTCCAGCCACATTAACGAGTAAGTGGCGTGGAGATAGCGAGAAACTTGTTCGTGTTCTTTTTGAGATGGCACGGCATTATGCCCCAAGTACCATTTTTATTGACGAAATAGAATCTCTATGCGGCCATCGTGGGGATGGGGGTGAACACGAGGCCTCACGACGTGCAAAAGGAACTTTGCTGACGCAAATGGATGGTGTGGGGGTTGACACCGGGAAAATAGTTATGGTTTTGGGTGCCACCAATCATCCATGGTCCATTGATGAGGCTATGCGGCGGCGTCTTGAGAAGCGTATATACATTCCTCTTCCAGACTTCAACGATCGGGTGGAGTTGTTTCGCATCAACAGCAAATCACTCAAGCTGTCCCCAGACGTTGACTTTGAGCACCTGTCAAAGAAGCTTGAGGGCCGTCATTACAGTTGCGCCGATATTACAAATTTGGTGCGTGATGCGGCCATGATGACAATGCGACGTCTTATGGAAGAGATGGATAAATCCGAGCTCAAGCGACGGGCGGCGGAGATAAGCAAAACTGTCGCCGACCAACCAACCACAATGAATGATTTCTTAAGTGCGGTGAAGAATGTTCCCAGCAGCATTAACGTAGAACAAATTCAGAAGTTTGAAGCATGGAAAAAGGAATTCGAAACAAATCCGTAGAGGTCACGCACAGGAGTTCAGTCATTCACAGAGTTGTAGGCAAGCTGAGATGTATATGCATTGAAAGAAGCTATCAAATCATCATCAATGCCAAAAAGAGTGAGGAATGAAACAGGAAAAAAAAAAAAAAAAAAGAGGGGAGAATGGAAGGGAGGGTAAATCCCATTGGGGTGGCATGTAGGGATGTCTTGGACACTCTCTTCCTTCAAGAGAGAAGCACACATATATTAATTGCGGTACTTAGTGCTGCCTCTCTTTCTCTTCCTTTCTTTTTTTTTTTTCTCTGTTTGTTTCTTTAGAAGGAAAAAAGAAGAAAGATAAAAAGAGAGCACCCTATGTCTGGTTTTCGTGGTGCGGGGCGTCTGGAGGACGACGGGAAGGAAAACCGGAAGCGCATGCAGAGGAGCGAGCCGGCCTGTGGAGGTTTGGTTGGTTGGCAAATTGCCTCAAAGAGTCGCTGTCTCGCGTGCGGGCGACTTGCGTCCATGTGTGATTGCCAGAAGTCAAGGATAGATCCCCAACTCAAGCGGCAGAAGCTTGAGAGCATTCTCCTTAGCACTCCGTACGTTCGCTCCAAGCAGGTTAGAGCACTAGAAGACATTTCCCGTGAGGAGTCCAAGAATCGTCGTCGTCTGGTGGAGCGATGGGGTGATGAGTTGGAGTCGATGAGGCATCTGGCCTTTACACACCACCGTATTTTTCTTTTGATCCTTGAAGAGACAGCCGCTCGTGAGGCTTTGATGGCTATGGAGCGAAAGGCATGGTCGGAGGGGATGGTTACTGTGGATCGACACATTGTTTTGTGCGCCATTTCCTTTTATGAGCGGGAGGAAAGACTGCAGTTGTATGCCTCAGCGCAAAGGGAGGTGCAGGTGGTCTTGGCATGGCATGAAGTAACGTGTCATCTTCTTGGCTTACGAAGTCGCGAGGCGGCATTTCGCAACGCTCTTGTAAACCACGAGGCGGCGACCAGAGCGGCGCTAATAAGCCACAATGTGGAGCTTTTAAATCGCATGGACGCCAATGAGAAGGATCGCTTTATTTTCTATGAGGCATTTAGGGAAAGCCGCGAGAAACTTGTTGTGGAGTGGCAGGGAGGCGTGGAGGCGATTCAGAGCGCCATTGCGGCAGATCAGCGACAGGTGGAGTGGATGCTGCAGGGGAGAAATCGGTTGTGCGAGCTATGTGAAAGACAGAGGGCCGAGTTGAAGGCAGAAGAAGAGGAACGTAGGCAACGCCTGTCTGAAATTGCGCGTAAAAAACAACATGCTTTAATGGAGAGGGTACAAGTGTGTGAACAGCAGCGATGCACTTTGGCTCAGCAGGAAGCGGACAGCCGCTCTGCCATTCTTCAAGATGAGGCAGCCGCATGCAAGGCGTTATGGTTGTTTTTTAAAGACGGTGAAAGAGAGGCTCGTGAGCTGGAGCAATTGAGGTACGAACGTTGCGGGGTGGAGCTTCGCGCGGCCATCCATCAGTTAAGGAGCATCGCCGAGGAGGAGGCCGCCGCTTTTGCTCAGCTCAAGGCACAGGAGCATTACGAGAAGGACCTGCGCTACAAGTGGATGCTTGAGAAGGAGAAGCAGCGCAAAGAGCTGGAGCAGGCTGCCCTTCACCATTTGCGGTTAATCGAGGAGGAGGAGGGAATGGCTCGACAGGCATCCATGAAGGCTATGCAGGAGGCGGAAGTGGGGATTGCAGTGTGGCTTCAACAGAAGACGCGGATCCTACGGGAGCTGGTGGACACTGCACTCGGTCAGAAGGGGGAAATGCGTTTGCGGGAACATGAAGAGCGCTTTGCGTTGGTGTCGCGTAAGGCGGAGCATGAAGACGCCGTACGTCGATGGATCGATCAAAAGGAATTTGCGCGGCAGTCTCTCATAAAAGAGGAGACTACACATCGTGTGAATACGGTAGAAATGGAGCGCGCTGTGCGAGATGAATTCCGTTGGCACTTTGACTCAGCTTTGGAAATGTGCCGAGGTCTCATTTATGAACGGATTACTGAACAGAACATATTTCAACAGAAGGCTCTGCAGGTGTTAAATGATATTGTGGAGCAGGAAGCCAAGGCGATGCTTCTTATGAGGCGCCTCATTTTCGATGACAGGGAAAGGACACGTCACGAAGAGAACCATCGGCAATTTCTTGAAATCTGGAATGCTGAGGCGGAGTGCCGTACGTACATTGTACAGCAAGAAGTCCGCCACCGTGAGAGCATCTCCACACAGATGCATCTTCAAAGAAGCTTTTTTGCAAAGGAGGCACAGGAACTCCTTAAGGCGCGAATTTGCGAGATTTTGGCGACAGAAGAAAGCCAACGTCTTGTGCTTTTGCATCATTTCTTTGAGGCTACAGAGCAGATTTATTTTTTATTTCGACAATCCCGGGAAGAGGCAAGACGGTGTGAGAAGGAGCGTGTGCTTGCGGAGCTGCGTCAGCGCGAAACGGAGTTACTGGAGGACACACGTCTGTATCGCGAGGATGAATGGCTCACCCTTGATCACACAGAGAACAGATTGCCAGAGCCTCAGGAATCATCTGCATTCCCTTTGGTGGATGATGGCTTGTGGAATACCCAGCGACAGCTTGTCATGGCCGAGCTTGGCGGGGAGGAAGCGGATGTCATGACGCTTCCCCCGGCAGCTGTGGGGTTTCTGGCCAGCATCATTGACGCTATCTCCAGGCGGGAGTCGTCGCTCACGGCAACGCTGCGTCAAGTGGAGGTGGCGGTCAATGAGGCAAGACAGAAGGTGGCAAACCAAAATCAGTTGCTCTCCGGCGTGAAGGAACGATGGGAGGAGTCGAAGGAAAAACTGAAACGTGATGCCGCCGAGCACAACACACGTGTGGCGATGTACCGCGACGCACGACAGAGGGATGAGGCGCAGTTGGAGCGGGAACGGGCGAGGCTTCAAACCAAAACCGAGGAACTGCGTAGAATGCAGAACAGCGTCTCTGGCATGCGAGATGCTATTCACAATCAATACCGGAAACGATAGAGCAAAAAAAAAAAAAAAAAAAAAAGAAACGGACTGAGTGTGAGGGAAAGAGGGAAATACCGAAAAACAGAAAGGGGAGAAGAAGGGCTTGGAATGTGGGCTGCACTGGGGGGGAGGAATGGTGACATCGTTGTGTTTTGACTTTTCTCTTCTTCCAACCTCACATGGATGATCACAGGTGATGCCCAGTTTTTTTTTCTTTTTTTTTTCTTTTTCTTGTTCTCTCTATCCCTCTCTGTTTGTGTATTTATGTTGCCTTAAATAGATGCTTTTTGTTATTGTAGATTCGCTTTACGTGTGTGTGTGTGTGTGTGTATGTATTTCCGTGGGGGGGTTGCTTAGTATCTTTTTATTATTTTCTCGCTCCCGTCTGTTCTGTTTGTAACGGAATATGTCATCATTTGACTGCACCTTCTACGCTAGAAGTAAGATCCTCCACTGTACGCTTCCGTATATGTGTGCATGGCATATCCATGGTCGTTACTGTCGGGTGGGTGCGTGTTTTTGCGCTTCTTAGCATGAGCACACCACGCCCCAGACACACACGGCGTTGGAGAGATTCCTGCTGAAGAGCTTTTTGTTTTTGACAACCATCTTATTGTTTTATTTCTTCTTCTTGTTTGTTTCTTTGTTTGTAGGGTGTTCTGCATGTGAGTTTGCCGGAGGTGAGGCAGGCTGCTCTTTCTGTTTTAGGGCAAAAGGAATAGGGCGCAGCACGGGGAGGTAACATGGAGGAGGAGATTGCGGTGGTGCAGCTTCTGCAGTACGGGCTGCCAGTTACGCGATCTACGTCTTTTGCCAGTTTTAATTCAGCCGCACTGTATGAGCTGCTTACTGCGGCACTGACAAGATTTTTCGGTGCGAATGGGGAGGAAGACCAAAAACAAACGCCGCCTTCTTTTGAGGGGGCCGAGAACACCACCAGCCGCCTTCGTCTTTTGAGCATGTTGGCAACACGCCTACAGCGTGCAGGCTGTGAATTTATTTCTCCCGACCACTTGATGTACCCGGCGGAGAAGACAACAAGGAAGATTCTCATGTGGCTCATCGCCGAGTTGCACCGCGTGACTACAGCCAGTAGCGTCAAGGACGACGTCAAATGGCAACAAACGCCCGTGGCGCAAGCAATTCTTTCGCTCCATTCGGTAGTGCAGCAACATAAGCTATGTGTTAAGAAGAAAGACACCAAAGAGTCCATTCCGCGGTGTGAATGTGTCATTCCTGCCGTACCTGCTTTTTTCTTTGCCGTCAGTGCTCAGGAACGACGAGAGGGTGGAGTACAGCCTCCGTTGTGGCAACAATTTTGCCAGGGCTACGATGTCATGCAGGGATTTCCCCGTTCACCTGAGGAATCGCCGTATCAGCCGCAGTGGAGGGAGGTGCTTCTGAATTCCTTTCAGGAGGCGAACGCGGTGGAGCGCACATTTGAAAGTGAGCTGACAAGTAACCGTGCATCGGGACCGTTGATGCTGCGGGACGCGAGTGGTGTGGAAAATTTTATCAAATTGCCACAGGCATCGCGAAAGCGTCCTCATAAGAAAACATCAGCATTGGCTTCTCTGAACCCATTGAAGGCATATGCTCTTGACGCCGATGTTTTTTACTTTAACACGTCCGAGGATGACATCAGCGTACAACACACTACAATTAAAACGGTGGCCGCTCGCGAGACTGCGTCGGAAATGGCTGAAGATCACCATGACACATTAACGAGGCACGATGTTTACGCCCCAAAGGAAAAGCATGAAATCCTACGTGAATACTCAGAGGCAAAGAAGGAGCTTCGACATCTCAAGAAGAAACTCACGGAACTTGCGGCTCAGAAAATGGGGTGCGACGAAGAGCTGGAGATGCTACAGGTCAGCTATGGACAAATCTGCAGCGAACGTGAGCGCCAGAAGGCGGAAACCGAGCGAATTGCACAGGCTCTAGCGTTGCTGGATACTCCAGAGGAAAGCGAGGTGCAGCTGGAACGGCAGGTTGCTGAATTTGTTGAGGCGCGCGAGAATAATAGGAGAGAGGTTCAGGTGAAACTCCAGAAGGTAGAGAAGAAACACACCGAGCTGTTGGAACGACTTCGTGTGGCGGGTGGCGACCATGAGGAACAGCTTTTACAATTATGGCAAGCTGTGAAAAAAGTACGGAGGCAAATTGATGAGAAGGAGCGGAATGTGCAACAATGGCAAGAAAAGGTTCTTTTGTCAAGCACAACGGATATTGATATATCCAATTTTCTTTCTTTTATCTATGAAATGACATCAAACGTTTGTAGACAACAGAAGCAGATAGCTTCCGTAGAACGCGACACAGCAGCATACAACACGCGTATTGAGGAATTAGAAGGACGTCTTCGGCTTTCTTTTTTTAAACAAGCGTCTAAGCTGTACCAAAAGGCCATGGTCTTTGACGATGGCAATGTATTTCAACGTCTACACAAGAATCTAAATGAAATGCGTGATGGGTATCAGGCCTTAATAAGCGCAACCGCCAAGCACGGCGAGTTTATATTAGAGTCGTACCGCATGGAAGAACGGCTGCAAAAGCTCAGGGTGGAGGTGGAGGCCTGTGACACGGAAAAAGTGAAGACCGACTTGGCCAATTTACGTGTAGAGAAGTGCTTTTCTTCTCCAGATATTACAGTTTCAGGACGCTAATGCTCTCGGTTTAGGCAGTTATTTATTTATTTATTTATTTTTTCTATTGCGAACTAGCCTTGACTCAGTTGAAGGCCTCTCTTTTTCTTTCTCTCTCTCAGTGTGTGTGTGTTTGTTTGTGTGTGTGTATGTGCCATTTAACAAAAGAGGGATGACCCCCTTTTTTTGCTTATTAACTCCATGCTGCGTTTTACTTTAGTTTATTTCGTCGTCTTCTTTTTCCGTTTTTCCCTTTTTTTTTTTTGTATTTCTCGTGGTTGTAACGGGTGCCCATTGGAGAATATATGATTGGGGAGTAAAGGGGATTACGGATGTTGACAGTATGTTGTTTCGTGTGTGCGTGCGTTTTTGTTTGTCTAGTTGTAAAGGATGAAGTCAAGTAAAGAAGTTGCAGCTGAAGAAGCGGTGAGGGCGGGAGGGCGCGAGGGCGCGAGGGCTTTTGCGGCGTACGGGGCCGTCATGGATATGCCTCTCTCCTGTTTGCCATGAAGGTGGCAGAGAAAGGAAAGGAACATCCGGATGAAGGGATTGTCGTTATTGATAACTGGAATATTGGTTTTTGGAATCTTATTTATTTATTTATTTATTTATTTTTTTTAATGGAGCTTTACTTCTTTATTTATTGTGGCTGACTTGTTTTTACATTCGCTTTAAGGGAAGGTATAATTCTGAAATCAAGTAAGAAAATTTACATTGATTGGTTTATTATTATTATTATTATTATTATTATTTTGGAGGGCGGGGGAGAACAGCAAATGTCAAGGGAATTCTCGCTGGTCGTTTTTGGGGCCACAGGCTACACGGGCAAACTGGTCTGTGAGTATCTCGCACGTCTGGGTTTGGGCAAAGTGGGACCTTGGGCGATTGCGGGCCGCAATAAGGAAAAACTTGATCAACTGAAGCAGGAACTTGGCGTGAATCTCTCTGTGCTTGTTGCAGACATCACCAGTCCCAGTTCTCTGGATAAGCTCTGTGCCAGCACCAGTGTACTCATTTCATGCGCCGGTCCCTTCACATACTTTGGGATGCCCGTTGTGGAGGCTTGCGTTCGCAGTCGGACGCATTACGTGGACTCGACGGGTGAGTATAATTTTGTCCGTCAGGTTATTGAGAAATTTCACGAGGAGGCAAAGAAGCAGGGCGTTGCTCTGGTGTCCTGTTGCGCGTTTGACAGCGTCCCTGGAGATTTGGGCAACTACTTTGTGCGTCAAGGGCTCGGTTCAGAAGTGGCGGAAGTAAAGGCGTTTTACCAGATGGCGCGTGGCGGGATGTCAGGTGGCACGGCACGCTCTGCTATGGCGGTGCATGAGTCGTGTGGTTTGGAGGACAACGATCCTTACAGCCTGCTCCCGAAAGACGCTCCACGGCCCCCTACAGCTCCTGCGCGGAGAGGTGTGTGGTACGACTTCTCGGAGAGGAGGCTGACGGGGCCTTTTTTTATGTCTGCCACCAACGAACGCATTGTGCGTCGCACGAACGCTTTGCTTGGCTACGGTGGCACGTACGTGGAGGCGATTGAGGGGACTTTGGGAGCTGTTGTTGGCGCAACCATCACGAAGTACATGATGACGGCGGTCCTTGCCGTTCCTTTTCTCCGTCGCTACGTCGCCGAAAATTGGTTGCCTCCGGCTGGAACCGGTCCCACACAATCGCAAAGAGAGATGTCGTGGTACAAGTGCATTTTTGTTGCCACCGACAAGTCTGGAAATGTCCTGCGGAGGGTTTTTCTCTCGGACACAAGAGACGGATACACGGCAAGCGGCCTTTACATCGCCGAATGTGCTCTCAGTGCGCTGCAGATGGCCAAGGAAGGCACGCTGGGCTTCGGTGTATTGACACCCATGGCTGCCTTTGGCGATGTTTTGCTCCAGCGTGTTCAAAGCGCCGGCGTAGTCGTGGAGGCGGTGGAGGAGGCAACAACGGGTACAGCAACACCCACGCAGTGAGTTGGAGGGAACCTCTCAGTTAGTAGCAGTGCAAATCGGGCGCAGTCTTGTGTCTGCATGGCAAAATGTGCACTGCATAGGAAACATCTATAAAAATTGCAATAATTGCCCGCTTAATTTTGGGCATCTCAAAAAAAAAAAAAAAAAAAAAAAAAGGAAAATAGTTTTGTTCGTATGACTTTTTCCATTTTTATTTATTTTGGCGTGTTTTCTCTTCACGAAGGGTGCACAGTGCATCTACGGGAAGTGGGTGACAGAACTCCCTGTTTCAGAAACTCCGTGAGCACACACACACACAAGAATGGGGTACCGCACATGAATTTTTTGATTTGACTGTGTGGCGAGAGCGGCCGCTTTTATGGTCTTTTTGTTTTCTTGCCACGTTGGACGCACTCTTAATTAACGCTGGTACAAAAAACATTTCTTTTTATTTGCTTTTTTTTTTTTTTTTAACCCTTCTCTTTACCTTATAGACTACTTATACTGCGCTGCTCACAACAAGCTGACCAATGTAAGTTCCCCAAGCCATGTGCAGACTTCACTGCTTTTCCCGCTGTTGGTGTTGCTTTTGGTGCACTTTGCCGTTGGGATGCATCGCCCGACCCTTCCAGGGCGGTGGCAATGAATTGGGAAACATGAAACGCACCAAAGTGGAAATCTGCCGTATGTGTTTTTCAAGAGTGTCCTGCGTGGAGATGACCGACGACGTGATGCGTTTTTTTTGTAACTTTTTTTTCTTCGGGGTGTGAACTCATGTTTCACGTGCGGGGGAAAGGAAAGTTGAGTCACGACGGTGGATGCATGTTTTATGATGTGTTGGCGACAATGACGTCTTGTGCCATGTAAGAGCGAATGATCCTTTTCCTTTTCCAAAAAAACAACAACAACAAAAAAAACTTTTTTTTTTTTTTTGGTGGAACGTGAAGCCACCGTTGGTTTTGAATTCAGGGAGGACGGAAGATTTGGGGCTTCTCTTGCGGGAATCTATTTCAGGCTACCGTTCTTAACTTTTCTTTTTTTTTTTTTCTTGTTTGTTTGTTGTGTCGCACGGTGGAGGCCTTGTGGTAGGCAAGCTGAGATGAATCGCGTCGCTGTGACTCTGCATGTATGCGTTGAGGGTGTCGTTTCCAAATCTTTTTTTTTCTTTTGCTGACTGCGTGACCTTTTTTTTTTATCCGTTGTTTTTTGTTGTTTTTTCTTTGTTTGTGATCTGAGCATATTTCTTGCCTTCCGTGTGTGTGGGTGCGTTGATTACTTGTGGGTCTTATGCGATTTTCTGCCCCAGTCACTTTAGGCGCCGCCATCGGCGTCTGCATGCTCTCTGCGATGGGTGTGTTCGCGGCAACGAGAAGGGAGGCGTGCTTGGCACGGATGTATCCGCAGAGTGCCGGTTTCTACGGTGCACTGGGTGCTGCTGTCGCTCTTGTGTTTGCGAATCTCGGTTCTGCGTATGGCGCCGCTAAGGCTGGTGTGGGCGTGGCACACCTGGGGCTCTCCGCACCGGAAAAGATCATGCGTGGCATCGTCCCTGTTGTTATGGCAGGTATTCTCGGCATTTACGGTCTCATTGTGGCTGTGATCATCAACAACAACATCAAAACCGAGCCGTACTCGTACTCGATCTTCTCGGGGAATTTGCATTTGGGAGCCGGGCTGGCGGCGGGTTTAGCGGCGTTGGCGGCGGGCCTCTCGATCGGCGTCGTTGGTGACACCGCCGTGCGGGCGTACGGTAAGCAGGATCAGGTGTTTGTAGCGATGGTGCTGATGTTGATTTTCTCTGAGGCCCTTGGCCTGTACGGCCTTATCATTGCGCTCCTGATGAACAATCAGGCCAACCGGTACGGCGCGCTTTGTGGGGTGGAGTGATGGCAGGAACGGCGTGCCGTTGCTTGGCACAGAGAAATGATGTGGCACCTCCATTCCACTTGTGGGTTGGCGTGTGTCTATGCCGCCGCCCCCTGGCGTGGTCATTGCTTCACGCAGCGAAACACAGCCGAATTTGAGAAGAGGAGTGAGAGATTGTGTGAAAGGGAAGATAGGAAGAGTTTAGTGAGGAGGTGTCTGTGCAGATTTCCGGGAAAAAATCCGACTGGCTTACTTCCCTATTATCCACTTGTTTTTTTGTTGTTGTTTTTGTTTCCTTTAATGATTTGTTTTTTTTAATCTTTTTTTTTTTTTTTTTGCCGGCGGCACTTCTTTGAGGCACCGAATCTCACAGAAGGGAAAATTATCGTGGGCCAAATGTCAACAACTTGTGGCTTTAAGGGCTGCTTGAACCATGCGTACTTGGTGATGCCAGTATGTACCCACTGCGGGAAGCGCATGTGCACGGCTCACTTGCTCCCAGAAGTGCACGGCTGCGGCGACGCCGTGAAGAATGCATCGCAGCGCCAGGCAACCGCGGAGGCGGCAGAGATGCGGCGGCGGCGCAAGCACCTTGGCCTCGATGACGTTAAGGCGCGGTTGGATCGCCGCCGGGAAGAACTCGCGACACAACGAAAGAAAAAGTCATCGAAAGGGAAACAATGACTGAGAGCGAAGCCACGGTGTATTTCACGGCAATTCAGTGTGGACTGAGGGTGAGTACGCAATTGTGTCCTTTTTTTGTTTTGTTTTTTGGAAGGGAAGTGGAGATGATGGCGGACTCGATTGCTGGATGATTGGGGGACGATATTTTGCCTGGCTTATTCCCGTGTGTTGCCTACGATTTCCTATGCTTCTTTTTCTGACTGCGACACAGTCCCAACTTCCCTCTCTTTCTCCTTCATTCATCCCTCTCTTGCGTGACTGGGCGTTTTGCTTTATTTTCTTCTTGTTTTTGCCACTATTAGCATCATGGAGTTTGTTCCAACCTTTCAGACTGCCGGCAAGGACCACGATGTGTTTGTCAATCACGGCGGCGCGTACTGGCTCAACCCAGTACCGCACGGCACGTTCCGCTCACGCAGTGCATGCACCATAATGAAGGCAACGGAAACCATTGACCCTTTTGGCAACCCCAAACGACCCGACAGGCCCATTGTGTTTGGATTGTCCCGGTACAGCACCGCCGACGACAGGCTCAACGCCGCAAAAGGGGAAACAAACGGTGATGACACCGAGATAGTGGCCGATAATAGGCGTGTCGAAGGTGTGGCCAAAGGCACGGATGCCGCTAGCGCGTTTCCACGAATGCATACGGATAACAGGGACGAAGTTGACTCTCATGACACTTTGCCCTTGCCTGCGCCGCCGTCTACCGACGCACGCAGTGCAGAAGCCACTGCTGTTAACGGTGACAAAGTGTCTTATTCAAGCGAAGCAGTGGTTCGTGAGAAACTTCCACTTGATACCGCCAACCCTGAGCGCCGCATTTTGCATCCAGGCAATCACACAATTCGCGTCACTCCCACAGGTGGAACCGCGTACAATGGCACCGTCGGCGAGTCATGGACGGCACCGAGAGCGGTAGATGGAACCTATCTGCGTCTAGCCCCACTGTATGAGAGCACAACGCACTACCAGCTACGCACTGGCCTCTACTACACAGAGGATGAGGCCCCGGCACACGGCATGACGCTACCGCCCAACAGCTCTCTCCCTACACGTGAATGGTAGAAACAGCCGAACGAAATGTAAAGTAGGAATTTGTCTGTCGCATAAAGGGCGCTAGAGGACAGCAGAAAATGACAGGCATCCCACATTTACTGCACACAGGATGTGTACTGTAAAGGAAACTGATTTTCGTATTATAACCATTATCAGTAGGTTTTCTGCACCCTTATTACATTGCTTGTAATGCCACTATCATAGCTACCCTGTCGGATCTTCACAGTTTTCATTTCTTTTTTCTATCTTATACCTTTTAACCAAAAATTCAAGCCATGCGCCAGCCACGCCACACCGCGCCGCCGCTGCTGCTGCTGCCGTGGCTCATGATGGTGGTGTGTTGCGCCGGTGTTTGCGTTGCCGCCGATCGTGCAGTGAAGCACCGCTGTGGGTTTGACGCGATGATGAAGAAATACGGCCGGCTGCCGACTGCGGTGGTGCGTGAGGTGCCGCGCCGGGGACAGGGCGCCGTGCAGGCGTACACCGCCGCCAGCGAGGATGGGGACGATGGCTGGGCTCCGATCCGCATCAGGGTGTCCGCGGAGGACATGCACAATCCGTTGAGGCACTGCACTGCGGCGGGGGATCTGCGCATTGACCACGATGGCCGCGCAATAACATGTGAGGCGGACGACGTGTTGACGGAGGAGAGGAGGAACATTATTCTGAGGCAAACTCTTCCCGCCGCAATTCAACTGCACGCGGAGCGCCTCTCCGTGAGGCCCGTGACGCGCCCCGTCCTCATTCCTCGAACCGGACTGGGGTTGTGCGATAACTTCACCATCCCACACAAGCACCACACGGTGGGTGTGGCTGGCGCCGACATGATTATCTACACCAACGGTTTTCCGACTTCTGGTCCAAGCGCATGGGCGGTACCGTGCTTCATGCTGGATGATGGTCGTCCATTTGCTGCTGCCGTGAACTTTGACCCGAGGCAAGTAGCGGTGACAAATGAGGAAGTGCGTGTAGCGGCCCACGAGTTGGGGCATGCTCTTGGGTTTGCAAAAGCGCAGTTTTTGATGTTACATATGATTTCCGAGTTCCCGAACGTGCGCGGGATGCCCAAGGTGTCGGTGATTTCAACACCGAAGACGAAGGCGATGGCGCGTCAGTACCAAAACTGCTCCACGCTTGAGGGCATTGAGCTGGAGGACGAGGGTGGTTATGGAACTGCACTGTCGCATTGGAAGAAACGCAACATGAAGGACGAGATGATGACCAGTATTGTGGAGGTTGGGCTGTACTCGGCACTGACGCTTGCAGCATTTGAGGACATGGGTGTTTATTTGGCAAACTACAGTGCGGCGGAGTTGTTGTGGTGGGGCAACAACTCTGGCTGTGGGCTGCTGGAAAAGAAGTGCATGACCGACGGCATCAGCGAATACCCTGATCTGTTCTGCAACCAGTTTGACGACGATGAAAGGCTTCTCTGCACGTACGACCGACTGTCTCTGGGGTTCTGTGACCTGAAGAGGCACGAGGAAGCCCTGCCAGAGGAGTATCGGTACTTCGCTGATCCCCGAGTTGGCGGTGATGACCTCCTCATGAGCAGATGTCCGTATGTCAAGGAGTATTGTAATGCTGGGTGCACCAACGGCGATCCTTCCGTAATGGCTGGCAGTGTCGTTGGTCCGAACTCGCGATGCGTGAAGGGGCAGGACCTTCAATTCGACGACGAATATATTGGCGATGTGTGTGTGGACACTCGATGCGGCGACGGCACAGTGAGCGTGCGGTTCCTTGATGACGATGCGTGGCACGAGTGCCAGGAGGGTGAAACCGTCACGCCGCCATCGGGTCCCTGGCGTGGGAGCATTGTGTGCTCCCAATACGCCGATGTGTGCACCGCCTTCCCGAACATCAGCAGCCACCCAATACCGGTCGTTGACCCGCCTCTAGCGGACGACCCGACATCCGCGGAGGATGCGGAGGGAGACGAGGGTGAGGTTCCGAGGAAGCGGCCGCGGCGACTCTGATTCCGGGGTTTTGCCGCCAATAAACTTATCGGGCAGCGTGGATTGTGGGGCGGGCGGCACTGCGGACACACCCCAATCGAGCAGCAGCGTCACGGGGTTGTGCTTCGCGCTCTCCGCTGCAGCTCCGTCTCCGGGCGACGGGGCTCTCTTCCACATCTCCACGCGGCGGGGCGGACGTGCACTGCGATGGCGGCCGGCGGGCGGGGCATCATATTTATTTGAGGAAACGAGAAAACACGAGCGAAACGAAAAAAAGAAAATGCGCGAGCAGCGTTTGGCAGGGTGATGATGTGCACATGGCCCGTCGACCCCGCACTCGCGAGACGCAGCACAGCGATAATAATAGCATCGTGCAACTGTTGCGCTACTCCTCTTTTCGCTTCTGAAAAACGGACGGTGAGTACATTAATTTTCTTGTGCCTGCGATGCGTGGCTTAACGGACATTTGTGTGCTGGCGGAATGAATTTCTGCACAACCGCGTGGTGGCGAGGTGGTCTGGAGGGAGGAGACGAGTCCCAGCACCGCATGCGCCCACGTGCGTCTTCTGATGCGGGCAGGCGATGGGAAGTCGCTGTGACCCAATGGGTGCGGGGGTGTCCGTGACTGCTGTGCTGAGGGCGGGGACAAGGACCCTCGATGCGGCGTTCCACGCAGACAGGCCTCTCCTGGGTTTTACTATTATTCATTTTTGCTGCGGGGGAATGGCCGGGCCCTACGAGTGGGCGGCAAAACTGCCCAGCCGTGTCCTCTTTGCTCCGCTTATTGGTGTGGAGGTCGCGCACGTTGTGAGTTGCGGAGGCTCGCCCGACGTGATCCTCCTCGCCCCACGTGGGAGGCGAGCGAAAGACGCACTCGGCACCTCCTTTTCGTCAGTCATGAATGATCGTGGGAGTGGGGAGTCGTGCTGGGCTCGCCGTGGACCACGGAATGCATCCGTCGCGGCAATGGCAACAGCATGACGAGGGTGCGAGGTGCTTGTATTTATTTTTCCTTGCCTTGTGCTGGAGGAAATCGAGTCGCGGACTGTTTTTTATACTTTTCTCTCCTGTGCCCTCTCTTCACTCCGTGTGCGTGTCAATGCGTAGATGGGGTGCTGGTATTTTTCAGGGCCTGTGAGAAGAATGTTATCGAGAGGGCTGGCTGCCCAATTTAATATATTTCCTGGTAAACCGTGGGAGGTATTTCCGTGTGGTCCTTTTCCTATCTTATGGTCCTTTGAAAGGCCCCGATGGAAGGAATCAAGGAACCGATAGCGGCAAGACGAATTTTATTTTTGTTTTTATTTTTATTTTTGCCATCCACCCTCTTTGATTCCGACCTTGCGGCGGGGTCTTGTGGCTGGAGGGCCCAAATTCTTCCAACTCGTAAGTAATAAATATCCCCAATCCGAACACACCGCACCGTGGCACGAGGGTGGCTATCCGAACATATAGATGTGGTTGGGACAAACATTGAGGATGTGGCGAGGCCGCTGCCTCTCCATGGCCCTCTTCTTTCCGTCCTGTTTTATTTATACGTATCGGTTCAGGATCCGGCTCGCAGCCCAGGCGAACATTTTTCCATGCTTCGGCTTTATTTGGAGGCTGTGTCTGTTTTTTGTTGTTGTCTGTGCGTGCGCTGCGGTAATTTGTGGTGCTGCCCCTCCTTCTCTCTTGTGGCTGCAGCGTCTCTTTCTCCCTCTGTTCCTCTTTCCTTCTGCTTCTCCTCCCGCAGACAAGGCCTGTGCTACCACCACCACCACCACCACTAATACCACTGCTGCTGCCCGCACCTCAGGAACAGACAAATTGTACCGAAGCCATGCGCCAGCCACGCCACACCGCGCTGCTGCCACTGCTGCTGCCGTGGCTCATGATGGTGGTGTGTTGCGCCGGTGTTTGCGTTGCCGCTGATCGTGCAGTGAAGCACCGCTGTGGGTTTGACGCGATGATGAAGAAATACGGCCGGCTGCCGACTGCGGTGGTGCGTGAGGTGCCGCGCCGGGGACAGGGCGCCGTGCAGGCGTACACCGCCGCCAGCGAGGATGGGGACGATGGCTGGGCTCCGATCCGCATCAGGGTGTCCGCGGAGGACATGCACAATCCGTTGAGGCACTGCACTGCGGCGGGGGATCTGCGCATTGACCACGATGGCCGCGCAATAACATGTGAGGCGGACGACGTGTTGACGGAGGAGAGGAGGAACATTATTCTGAGGCAAACTCTTCCCGCCGCAATTCAACTGCACGCGGAGCGCCTCTCCGTGAGGCCCGTGACGCGTCCCGTCCTCATTCCTCGAACCGGACTGGGGTTGTGCGATAACTTCACCATCCCACACAAGCACCACACGGTGGGTGTGGCTGGCGCCGACATGATTATCTACGCCAACGGTTTTCCGACTTCTGGTCCAAGCGCATGGGCGGTACCGTGCTTCATGCTGGATGATGGTCGTCCATTTGCTGCTGCCGTGAACTTTGACCCGAGGCAAGTGGCGGTGACAAATGAGGAAGTGCGTGTAGCGGCCCACGAGTTGGGGCATGCTCTTGGGTTTGCAAAAGCGCAGTTTTTGATGTTACATATGATTTCCGAGGTCCCGAACGTGCGCGGGAGTTCCAAGGTGTCGGTGATTTCAACACCGAAGACGAAGGCGATGGCGCGTCAGTACCACAACTGCTCCACGCTTGAGGGCATTGAGTTGGAGGACGAGGGTGGCCCTGGAATTGCACTGTCGCATTGGAAGAAACGCAACATGAAGGACGAGATGATGACCAGTGATATGGATTTTGGGCTGTACTCGGCACTGACGCTTGCAGCATTTGAGGACATGGGTGTTTATTTGCCAAACTACAGTGCGGCGGAGTTGTTGTGGTGGGGCAACAACTCTGGCTGTGGGCTGCTGGAAAAGAAGTGCATGACCGACGGCATCAGCGAATACCCTGATCTGTTCTGCAACCAGTTTGACGACGATGAAAGGCTTCTCTGCACGTACGACCGACTGTCTCTGGGGTTCTGTGACCTGAAGAGGCACGAGGAAGCGCTGCCAGAGGAGTA